AAAAAGGGAAAAATACTACTAGTATCTTTCTAGTTCATAGGATTGTTGTAAGCTTAAAAAAGATGCAGTAATTGGGGTAGGCAGAAATCTAAGACGGTCCCTGCGATTCCCACCCCCGGTGTGCAAGCCTGCACAATCCCTTCCCCTTGAGTGTGAGTGGGACCTGGGAATATGATAGGATACTCACTTCTGTTACTTTATATCAAGTAGCAGACTCTGGAGAGATTATCCCGCTGGCTTTGAAGAGGGAAGCTGCCATGTTGTGAGAGGCCCACATGGCTGGACCTGAGGGCAGCCTGTAGGAGCTAAGAGCCCCAAACCAACAACCAAAAAGAACACAGGACTTTAACCTTACAGCTGCAAGGAATTAAACTCCGCCAGCAACCTAAATGAGCTTGGCTTAGACCCCAAGCCTCAGATGAGATCATAGCCCCTGCAGGCACCTTGATTTCAGCTTGGAGAGACCCAGAGCAGACAAGTCAGCTGTGCTGTGCCTGGGCTTCTGACCTACAGAAACTGTGAGATAATAAATGGCTGTTGTTTCAAGCTCTAGGACTATGGTGATTTGTTATGCAGCAATTGAAAACTAATATAATAGTCTGAGTTTGTACCAAATTGCTATTTGAGTAGGTTAAAAACAGCTGAGTACAGGCAACTGCATATGGTTCAGCCTAGTACAGATGTTAATGCCTGGCATGTAGTAAGCACTCAATAAATCCCACTGTTTTTATTCCTCTGGCTCCACTAAACAGTATCTTAATGTAGTCAGTGGCTGAATAGACCTCTTTTTCCTAGCAATGGCTCTAACAGCTGCCACACTGCCCCCAGGCTCCTCCTTCCCCCAAAGCCACCCTCCCCCTGCCTGTCAGAAGACAGTGTTCTGAGCCCATTCACACCCCTTCTGAGAGGCTGAGGGCACAGCTCTTGAGCTAGGCTGCCTCTCCAAAACGCCAACCTGAACAGACAGCAGAAAACAACATCTCTGGGGCAGAGGCAACAGCTGCCCACCAGCCCCACGTCAGCTGGAGGGGAGAGGGCAGCTGCTTGAGAGATCCCAGCAGGGCTAAGCTACCACCTGCCTCTGGACTGTCCCCTCCTTGCCTTCCCTGTGGGTCTCAGGAGCCCCGCCATGTAGAATCGTTCAGTGGTTCTGCCAGCAAGACCCCACGGAAGTGCACAGGTTTCCTGTTACATAAAAAATGCAAATTGCTCTTTCTAACCAACACGCTGGTCTGGATCCCTGCATCCAGACGAGGCATAGAGAAATAGTGGGGCCCTTGGGAACAGGACACTGGACAGGTGAGTTTTGACTGGGTCTGCAGGGAGGCTAATAAAGTCAGGAAAGGTCCGGAACAGACCAACAGAGAAAAGAGAAGCTCGTGGCTCACACTTTCTACAATGTCTGCTGGAATCTGGTTTCACAAACCGTCTAACTTACTCCCTAAACAACCCCTCAGAATCACTAAATGTACATAGTATGTCAAATATATGTCAATAAAGCTGGGGGTGGGGGGAAACAGAACTTTCTAGATGGATCAGATCTCCAGGACCCAAACAAACCAGCTATAGAGACAGATTTTTATTTACTTTCAGGTGTCAAATAATAGGCAACATAAATTACTATTCATGGCTTAATCCATTTAATCCTCCTACTGTGATAAGGATTATTACACTTACTTTACAGGTGAGGAAACCACAGCCCAAGTTAAGTGCTTTACCCAAAATCACAGGGATTTGAACCCAGGTGGACAGACCCCACAGACTCATGTTCTTACAAGCATTGAGCCAGACAACCAGAGGCTTTAAAATCTTTGGCCCGAGTTTACCAAAATCAGTGAAAACAATTGTTTGGGAGTAGACTATAGATTAGCCCAGGAGACACCCAACACAAAGAAGCAGGGGCCCAAACACATCCATCCCACAGTGTCACCTGCCTTCAGCAGAGGCTTGGATGGGCCTCTGCTGTGGTCCTGTGCTAGGGCTCAGACATGCCCCTGTGCCAGGCAGCTTTGCTCAGCTAGGAGTGTCCTAGGATAGGCATGGTGGGGGTCAGGTCCTCCCCTAGGCAACAGCAGAGACCTCCTAGGGCTGCAGGGGATGGCAGGGACCTTCCTAAGGAGCAGAAGGGAAGGGAACTAGCTCCCAGGAATGCTAGTTTCCAGTTCCTTTGAAACACTGGCCCCCTCATCCCCAGCTGCCCATTCTGAAGCCCCCTGGAGCTCTCAGTCCACCAACCCCTCTGCCTGCCCTACTATTCCCTGCCCACCAGCAGGTGTCACCTAGATGCTCAGGGCAGGGGTACCCTGTAGCCTCCTCCCCTGGGCTCAGTCAATGCTGACCATGAGATGCAGGGGAGGAGGCCTTGGCTCTCATTAACTGGTGGCCATGGAGTATAGAATATGCTGGAGAAAGCCATTCTGTGCAGCTCTCCCTCCTCCCCATCCTCCTCCTCCTTGCCTCCTTTTCCTTTTCTCTCTCTCCCTCTCTCGATCTGTTCTAGAAACTGGATAGTTAGACCTGGTTGAGGCAAACAGATGGATTTACAATTTCAAGTTTACCCACGTTGTTTTCTTGCCTCCCTGCCGTTCCAGGTGACTCCTCCCTCCTCACCCCTTCCTACCAAAACTCATTATTCCCCACTCTCTGGCTTTTGGGAGGGCAGGAGCAGAGCCTGGGTCATGCCCTTCTCAGGTTGATGTCCCATGAAAGGGAATGAACACCAGGGTTGATCCCAGAACCACATCCCCCAGGAACTCAACTGCATCCCTAGGTACTGCTTAGGCAAAAGGTTTGAGTCTTTGGACACCTCTGCTTCCAGAGAGCAAACAGGAGGGGCCAAGTGCTACTGCCTTACAATAATCACTGTTGTTATTTATTGAGCACCTACTGTGTGCGAAGCAAGTGCAAAGCAGCATGCTGGATGCTTCATGATCCTCTACTCCTGTAAATTAAGTCCTCCAACAGTATTCGGTGAGGACCTGCTACATGCCAGCCATGCTTCCAAGCATGAGGGGTACCTCTGTGAATAAGGTTTCTCCATGAATAACAGGTTCGTTGTTTGCACTTGACAAATGGGGGAAAGCGAGGCTAAAAGTTTGCCCCAAGTGGTGGAGCAGATTCCATTTTAAAGAATCTGATTCCAAAGCCACAATGCCCTGTGCCCTCTGCCTCCTCTGGGTTCGTGGGTCTGAGTCAGGGTGGGGATCGCTGCCCTCAAATGCTTACAAAGTTGCTTTGGGGGAAGAGGAATGAAGTCTGCACACCTGAGATGTCTTCAGAGGTTTTGTGCTCAATATGTGAGAGACCCGGTGGCCCAGGCTGAGTGCTCAGGACCCAGGGAACACAGAAGGCAGTGATTTGGGCTGCGTGTCTCTCAAGGGTGAGAAGGATGGGTGGGGAGCACAAGGCCGGGCTTTTCAGGATGGGGGGACACAAACTGGCAGAGATGAAGGCAGGGTGAGATATGGATAGAGATTGTGCTGTTCAGAGGCTCTGAGGTGAAAAGCCTCCCGAGACAGCTCCGACACAGGCGTGACTGAAGGCTGGGAAGGAGCATCTGGCGCAGGGCTATGCACCAGCAGGGAAGGGAGGACGGGCTGGGGCAGCTGTGGATGGCTGAGGAGGTGAGGCCGGAGCTAATGGGCAGTCAGGAATCTCCCAGCAGAGTAATGGCAAGATGCAAATGGCCTTGGGAGATAATTCTGACAAAACCGTATGTGGGACCATAGGGGAGACATGTGGTGTTATCACAGGAGCCCCCAGAAGGGCCTGATGCAGGGGCCAGCTATGTTCAACTTCATCAGCCCTCACTCCCACTCACCCTAAACCGCAGCCCCCCGCCAAGTCCTTCCCTCTTTCACATCCCAGCCCAGTTCCCCTGGCTCCATCTACACCTCCCCAATGCCACAACTTGGGAACACAGGGTTGGGGTGCCATGAGGGTGGGTGAAAGGTCTGATCAAAGAGAGGCCTGGGCGATTTGGAACAAGTGCACACCAAGGACCCTGGAAATGCTGTTGGTCACTTGGGGCAGGGGAATGGCATTTCCAGCGGAAACACAAGAGGTAGCCTCTGCGTAGGCCACAGTGCCCCCTCACAATCCCAGCAAGGCAGTGACCCTAGGCCAGCCACAGGGTGCCTGCACTAGGGATAAATTCCCCCTTCCCCACTTGTATCCCTTACTGCCTGGGGCAGCCTTCCTCTCACATAGGAGAACCTGGGGGAGACCCAGCTTAGATGAAGAAGTGACTCCCAAAGCCTGTGTGACACGACTGAGGATTTGGGGGTGGCAGCCCACAAAAACTCTCCTCCCCCTCCCCTGCTGGACTCTAAAATTCCACACTCATCGTTCTAGTCCTTTGGCTTAAGATTTTGTACCCCCAGTTATTGTTTTTTTAATGGTGCAACTTTAAGTCGTTATCAATTATCCACATCTCAGGACGAATGAGTCAATCTGATCCTTTCCTGAGAGTCAGTTTTGTTGTTGGAGGTGAAGAAAGGCTTTCAAATCCTGGGGTCTAGAATGGTGGGTGGGTAAGGGAGGAGAGGGTGAGGGTGTTGGGGCAAAGGAGGGTGGAGAAGAGAGGGAAGGAGGGCACAAAAGGCAGAGGCTGGGCACGCCTGGGAGGGATGAGGCAGATCATTCTCTTCTGGATTTGGGGAGGGGATGATCAGAAATAGACTGCTGTGAAGACCCTGCTATGTCCTTTCACTACCTCCCTCTCCCCACACGGGCGTCTGGACCCCCGTTCCTGTGTCTTCTCTCCTCGCAACAACAGCGCAGAGTGCAAACTTTCTGGGATACGACCCTAAGCCTGGCTTCCCATTCCGCGGTCGCCACCCGTGGCTGGGCAGGGGCTCTTGCAGGACAGGCAAAGGGGCGTCCTGGAGAAAAGGTCACTCTGGAAGGGGGCGCACGGAGGTAGATGGTCGGAGCCAAAGGGGCGCAGGGGCTCCGGGGCCAGGGGCGGGGCCGGGGGCCAGGGCCAGCGGGAGGCTCACCTGCAGGACACGGTGATCTCCACCTTGGTGGCCGGGATGCTGCCCGCCAAGGAGTCGAACTCGCTCAGCGACGCCATGTCCTCGGGCTGCTCCATAGCCCACCGCGCCCTCCACCCCAAATTAGTAAATCCCTGCGCGATTCACGCCTCCTCCGGAGCAACCGAAACCCTGGGCTCTCCCCCAACTCCGGAGCCGGGGCTGGGCGGCAAAGGGAGGAAAGAGGAGAGCGAAGAGGGGGCGTGGGAAGTGAGAGAGGGAAGCGGGGCGGAGGGAGCGGGGGCAGAGGATACAGGAGGGGGCGCGGGTGACGCGACGAGGAGGCTGGGGGCCCAGCGGAGAGGCGCAAAGAGCACAGAGAGCTGAGGCGCAGCCGGGAGAGGCGGAGGAGCGCGGGGAGAGGGCACCGGGAGGGACGCGCGGAGTCGTGGAGGGGGCACCGGGAGAGGGGCGGGGAGCTTGGGGCGGGGACAGAAAGGGTGCAGGAGAAGGAGAGGGGTGTGGGGGGCCGGATGGGGCGCGAGCTGCGGGGGTGGCCAAACTCAGGCAGCGCGGAGCGAGCCCGGAGCGCAGGGGCTGCGGCGCCTCTCGCTGGGTCTCCGCGGCGGGGGTGGGGACGCGGCTGCGAGCGCCACTTCCTCGGCTCGGGCTCTGGCTCCGGGGCTCCCGGGCTGCGGGAAAATCAAATCTGCTCGAAGCCGCCGCCTCCCGCCACCCGGGGCGGGCTGCGCGCCGGGTGCGCGAGCGCCGGAGGGGACGCCCGCAGGGGCCGGGGCGGGGCCGCGGGCGGGGTCTGCGCGCTAGTGTGAGTGTGTCCGTGCGAGCATGTGAATCTCTGTGCGTGTGGCGGGCGTGGAGACGCGGCTCCAGATGCTGGGAGCCTGGGGAGTGACAGCTAGAGATGGTCTCGGCCGTGCGCGTCTCCGTCTGCGCCCGCCCTCCACTCCCCACCTCCCTGAGGGGTCTCCATCTCCGGGGAGGGAAAGGGATGTGTGAACCAAGGGGCATCTGTATGAGAAGGGTCTATGTGGAGCGGGGGTGGGGAGGGACCTGTGCAAAAGAGACAGCAACCCCCAACCAGAGGTTTGGAGGGGGGGATCTTTGCTGAGGGTGCGTTCCAACGGAGGGCAGGTCTCAGTCCAGAAACAGATTACACATCTCCTGGGGAAGCATGTGGGGCCGACCCCGGTGTCTGGAGGAGCCGCCTCGGTTTCCCAGTGAGGGTCCTTAGGCCTAGGCAGAGTGGGTGCATGGGCGCTCCCCCATCTGCCTCTGGTTCTCGCCGGGCCTGGCCACGAGGAGTCAGCCACCTAAGCCACGCGACAGTGCCCTCCCCATCCCCGGCCCGTCGTGACCACACAGCTTAACCAGCCCCCAGGTCTAGAAGCTTCCTCCAGCCAGACAGAGGGCGGCCCGAGATCCCCGGGGGTTCTCTGCAACCCGCACCAAGTAGGCGCCTGCTGTGTGCTGGTCTCTGATCCCAGCCGTGGGAGCGAGGAGAGAGTTGAGGCACTTCTCAGGCGGGCCCCCTCCCAGCCAGGCCCGTTGCGGCCCCACCCTGCCCCAGTTTCGCCCTTCTGGGTTTGCTGCGCTGTGGCGTCTCTCCAGGGCTTCGCACAGAGGGTCGTCTCCAGGAAATCTCCAGTGACCCCTCCTCAGCCTCAGTCTCACCCTTGCGGAGCTGAAACCTCCTCTGCGCCCACCGCCCGGCGTTTGGACGCGACGCGCCCCTGTGCCCCGGGGAGGGGTCCTGGCGAGGCCTAGAGCCTGAGGCTGGCCCTGGAAAAGCCACGCCCCGCGGGCCTGGCTTTGGCAGCTGGGCCTTAACAGGCGCCTCGAGATTCTGTTTGAAGTCAATTCCCAGAACATCAGATACAGCCAGAGTCAAAGATAAATAAGAACACATTCATCGGCCCGGGTTAAGTGTTTTCCTTTTACCCATGGCTCAGGATTGGCTGCACTGTGTTCTGCAACCTGGGACCCGACAGCAAGAACAAAGGCGCTGGGATGCCCAGGGCAGCGGAGGCTTGCTGCGTCAGAAGGCTCCACTCTCCGGTTTGGGCTTAAGACCCTCTCTGCAGGATAAGTCGGGCCTCCTTTTCTGAAGGATGCAAAACTGGGCTTGGACTCTCTGTTCCCTCCCCCCACCCCATACCTGTCCTACACATGTTCCAGACATACTTGTGGAATATGTTATCCATTCATTCTACCAGTATTTACAGAATACCTGCCCTGTGCCTGGCCAGGTGCTAGGGCCCCTTGGAAAACTTCCTTGGAAACAGTGATAACCACCATTCCGTTTTCGAAGAGACTATCCTGGGCCAGACACCATGCTTAATTTTTAAGATATTATTTGCGTACTACAAAATTCCACCATTTTGTGTACAATTCAGTGGTTTTAAATATATTCACAAGGACTATGCGTGAGTATAAATTCTCAAAATAAGTACAGGCATGAGGTATTATTATCCCAGGGAAGCTAAGTAACTCGCCCATGATCACCCAGCTGGGAACTGGCAGAGTGAGAATTTGAACCCCAGCCATTGAGACCAAAGCCTGACTGAACAAACCTTGACTGCCTCTTAGGATGGGGCCAGATGATGGAGGGTCTTAAAAGTCATCCATGAAATTAGGCCCAGTTGAGGAGGACAACAGGTGGGATCCACTGTAGGTAATTAAGCAGGTGAGTGGTGAGACTGAAGTTCTACCACATAACCTTGTAATGTGACAGCATCTGGTCACATAACCTTGTAATGTGACAGCATCCCCGGATTCTCTTTCTAGAAAAATTCTGGAACTTGTCTGTTTCTCTTCGTTCCCTCTCAGTCATTGCATTTCCATGGCTGGCTCTTTGGGGAAAAAAAATTATACTGGGCACCGTCTCTGTGCCAGGTGCTGTGTTAGGCTCAGAGAATAAAGAGGTGAAAAGGACATAGTATCTGTCCCCAAAGAGTTCCAGGCCAGTGGGGACCCCAGGACATGCAGAAAATAAATGACAATGCAGCATGAGGAGTGCTGTTGAGGTAGGTATAAAGGGCCCAGAGAGTAGAGAAGAGTGACCAACAGCTCTACCCCAGGAATGGGCACAAGGGAGGGTCAGGAGCAACTGCAAAAAGGGGGTGACACTGAGATGGACATTGATGATGTCTGTTTGGTTCCCTCAGAAGCAGACCCCGAGAGAAAGATTTAAATGTGAGCAGTTTATTGGGGAGATTAAGGAAATGCTATGTGGGGAGTGTGGAGGTGACGTAAGGAAGGCAGCCTATAAGGGTGGTTTATCAAATCAGTTATCACTGTGGGCAACTAAGGCTCATTCCCACTGAGAAGCTCTAGGAGACCATACAAAACACACCTCACACTTAGCCCACCAGAGGGGCGAGGGAGCAGGGGTATGTATACACCAACTTTCATCAGTCACTGGCTCAGTGGCTGAGGGCCGCTTCTGGAGGGCTTTAATTCCCTGACACTTCTGGCCTGACCAGCACAAAGTGGCAATGCAGGTTCCAGAAGCCAGAGAAAGCATCAGGCAAAGAAGTACAGGTGCTGACAGTTGGATGTGGGGCTGGAGTGCACTGAAGTGGTAAAGGTGAGGGTACAGACAGGACAGTGGCTGCTACGGATGATGAACTAACTTCTGCCTGGAAGACAAGGCTGAACAGGTGCTTCTGGCAGGGGACCAGCATGATTAAGGGCCAGAGAGCTGTGTTTGGGGACCCTAGTGTGGCTGGAGCACAGGATGAAAGTGGCAGAGATAGAATATGAGGGCAGAAGGTGAGGGGCCATGATGCAAGGCCATGGGCCTTGGCCTCCTCTGGGCACAGAGGCTTTTCAGAAGGGGACACTGAAGGAGAGGTGGTCTGAAAGACACCCCATAATTACATAGCTAACCAGTGACCGCAGAACACAAAACTTGCTGATCAGACCCAGAGCAAAATGCTCACAGTGCTCGCGCAAATGAATTGCTGATGGTTCAAAAGCAGTCTATGGGTGTTGACATTGGAGAGGTCATTTCTTCTTTGAGGGATATGATAGTGTCAAGTAACTGAGGTCACCTGTGATATTTAGGCAAGCCAGCCGGCAGGCCATCAGGCACTGCAGACGTGTTGTCTGGGCCTGGCAACCAGATTAGAGCCAACCACAGCTCTGCCCACCCCACCATGTAACCAATGCTTGTCCCTCTGATTACAAACTGTGAGCACAGAATGGGCCATGTCCAGAAGATTTGGAATAATCAGCATCAGCGTTTTGTCTTTGCCATCCAAGACTGCAAACATACTCTCATCTGACCTAATCCGCAGTGTTAATGACGGCAGAGCAATTTCGAGAGGCAACCCGCAGCATTGATAAGGAGAGGAAAAGCACCACAGGGCTTGGGAGGCAGAGCTCACAGATGAGGCAGCTGCTGTCTTCCACCCTCCCCCAGGCCTGTCGTGTAAATGCTGCCCTCAGATCTGCCCTGTTTGAGGCTGGGGATGGTAAGACAAAAGGAACACAGAGGAGCAGAAGATGGAGTGAGCATGGGACAGGGGAGTGGGGGCTAACCATACTGCACCTCAGAACAAGCTGGAAAAAGGCCTTCTTTACTTTGGGTAAATGCATCCCTGAGCCAGCCAGGGCACATGGCTTGTGGAGCAGACTATGGGCTTGATTTGAGCCTCCACTTACTCCCTTGGCTGGGTGCCCCTGTGAGGTGAATGCCCTGCACCACTGTACATGGGAGCCCTGGGGAGATGGAAAGACAGAGGGCGTGACAGGAACCTGAAACCACTGTGGCAGTAGAGAGGTAGGGGAGATGCAGTGTCTGATTCCATCCATTAATAGAAATGCTAGAAGGGGCTTGGTTGGAGACCATCTAGGTTAAACCCCTTCTTTCACTCAAAAGTTTAGAGAGGGGGAGTAAAGGACTCAAGGTCACCTGACTCTTCCCTCAATAAGAAACTCCACTAATAACAGCAAGGTCAGGCACCCAAGTGCAGTGCGGACCTGCCTGAGAAGGTCTGAGGAGCAGCCATGTTCTGCTGGGGTGGAGCAAGAGGCACAAGCTGGCCACAGGGCTCCCCACACCTCCAGCCCCCATTCCTCCTGGAGATGCCCCACCATCCCAACTGGAACCCCACCCTGCCCCTCCTTTCTGCCTCTCCCCACATCACAGCATGGCTAGATCAGTCATCTGGGCAAAGGGAAGCCCCAGGGCCTTCCAGCTGCTGGTGCAGCAGCCTTTCCCGCCCCTAGGATCCCATCTGCGCCCCCCACTCCCACCCCTGGGCTTCCTCTCTCACTTCTTTTGTGCTCCTCCTTCCAGCCTCTCCTGTTTTTCCAAGTGAGGGAGGCCTCCCTGCCTTTTCAGTCTAGCTACTAGAATCTTCACACCAGACAGGGGATCCACTTGAAACCAGAGTCGGGTTATGTCACTCCTCTGCTTCAGACTCTGCCCTGGCTTCCATCTCTCTCTGTGGTAAAAGGACTTGATGGGCCATGGGCTCTGTGACCTCTCTGACTTCATCTCGTCCTTCTCTCCCCCTCACAGTCCTCACTCCAGCCACACTGGCCTCTTTATGGGCCCTGCAGGCCCCTGTCTCAGGGCCTTTGTACCTACTGTTCCTTCAGCCTAGAACACTTGTCCCGGGTCACCCAGGTCTCTGCCCAAATGCCCTCCCTGCAGGGGCCTTTCCTTGGCCACACTACCTAACACAGTACCTTGTTACTCTCAGCCCCCTGACCCTCCTTTATTTTTCCTCAGAGCAGTACCCTGAGGTACTGTATTGTATGTTCCCCCACGAGAATACAAGTTTTATGCAAGCAAGAACTTTGCCTTGTTCATGGTTACACTCCCAGCTCCAAAGGCAGTGCCTAGCACGTAATAGGTGCTCAGTTGATCGTATGACTACATGAAAAGTTCATCTCTCCCCTCTGAAACACTGACTCCTTCATGAGGACCCTTGGCTTCCACCTAGCAGTCCCAAACAGGGCCCAAGTCTTCACTACCACATACATCTCACATCTAGCCTTCCATTGATTGAGCAAGCATTTATTGAGCATCTATTACGAATTCAGTTGTTGAATTGACAACTATCAGATTGAGAATCTCTGGGCTCCTTGACCAGTAGCACAGAGAAGGGAAGGGATTCTTTTTTTTTTTTTTTTGTGGTACGCGGGCCTCTCACTGTTGTGGCCTCTCCTGTTGCGGAGCACAGGCTCCGGACGCGCAGGCTCAGTGGCCATGGCTCACGGGCCCAGCCGCTCTGCGGCATGTGGGATCTTCCCGGACCGGGGCATGAACCCGTGTCCCCTGCATCGGCAGGCGGACTCTCAACCACTGCGCCACCAGGGAAGCCCGGGAAGGGATTCTTATCTATTTATTTTGTTTACTGAGAACCTACCATGTAATAAGCTTAGCAATAAGAATTTAACATCCATCACACACTGAATCCTCACAATAACTACGACGCTATTGTCTCGTTTGATAAAACTTTACTACCCTGTGCAGTGAGCTGGGCTAGTTCACTGCCAGGGCTAGAGAGATGAGGGAGACCCAGTCTCCTCAGAAGCCCTGCCCAGTGGAGTTGGAGCACTCGTTTTGAGTTATGCTGTAGGAATCTGTAGAATACGGGCCTTAACTTGCCCAAGCTCACACGGATAAGTGGCAGAGACAGGATGCAAACCCAGGACTGTGTGAGACCAAAGCCCCTGTCTTCGCCTGACACCAGCCTCTCTTGTTCCAATCTTCACTCAGGGCTTGTCTAGGTGACTCAGTGTCTGCAAGGCAGCCCCTCGCATGTCCATGGGACCTAGTCCCAGCACCATGTGATCTGTGCTCAGAGCCTTGTCCCTTCCACTTTTCACCCTGTCCAGCATAGACATCACAGCGTGTCACTGTGCACCCTCCCCCCGCCACACACACACATTTAACCCAGTATTTAGCTCAGTATTGTTAGTTGCGGTATTGGAAACCTCAGTGCTGCAAAGGACTTGTAAGATAATGCAACTCACTTCGATTTTACAAATCTGAAGACTGAGTCCTAGAGAGGGAAAGAAATTGGCCCAAGGTTGTTTTGCTAATAAGCAGCAACTGGAGGTAAAAACTAACAGGAGTTCAGATTAGAATCAACTCCTAGACCTTTTTTCTCACCTCAGCTCCTTCAAGAAGGGATGGGTCCCCTTGACTTTATTTATAAATGCAAGTGTCCTATCTCTGGGCCTTTTGCGATAAGGGCCAATGTGAACCTCCATCTCCCCACCCCCACCATCAGCCTTTTACACCCAACCAGGACCAGCCACATGGTTGCCCCCGGCCTTTCTTCCTGCCATTTCCTCTCCACCAGGCCCACATTCTACCCTTCTTTCAGGTAAAATCTCTTCCAGAAAGCTAGCCTGGATTCACCCAAGGTCACCGAGTTTCTCCTTCCACTGAACCTCCAAAACACTTCTCTTAGGTAGACACTTCTCTCTTCTCCTGCCTAGCAGGGGGCGTGCCCTGAAGGTCTTGGTCTTGGATCTTGGTCCTCCACAGCCTAGCCTTTCCCAGGCCTCAGCTTCCCTCTCTTCCTTTTTGCTGGATTTAATTACATTTGAATATATTACCCCCCAGTCAGCCAGTCTGCTCTTGGGCCTCCTGAACTCTCTCTCCACTTGATATCAGCCCATTTCCTCTTATTTTCGCATCTTGGGAACTGGAGAATGAATCCTCGCACTTGAACCTTCAGAAGCTTAAAAGCAGCCTATGTCCCTCCCTGCAGTCCCAGCCTCCCACCGACACACTTGATGAGTTCCTGATTGGCCTGGGGGAGGGATGAAACAGCTGGACTTTCAACTGGAAAGGCTTGATCGAGTCTATTCCCCCAAATCCCTCCCATTTCTCCCCTGCCACAGTTGTTTGAGGGTCTGCCTAGGCCTCAGGACTCTGTGCCCCTCCCCACCTCAGGCTGATGGGGTGGGGCAGGGGGCTATTTCCCACCCCACCCCCGCCCTCGGATTTTCCCTACACTGCTGCTCCTTAGCATGTCCCCTGGCTGTACCTGCCCTGGGCAGTCTGAAAAGCCACCAAGGGTGAAACATTCTTTTTTTTTTCCCCAAGCGCTAAATTCATTTTCATGCCAAGCTGCTTTTATCTGCCTGCCTGGCTGCTGAAGAAAACTGAAATGTGCACAAAATGCCACGAGCCTGGCTTTGTGTGGAAGCTGAAGTCCCAGTGGCCCTGCCCCCGGAGCCCGTCTGCTTGCATCTCCAGCTGCCTGATGTGATTTCCCTGAGTTTTATTAACTCTGGGCCCTGCACTGAGAGAGGAGCTCATCAGACACACTTCACATCTTGCCTCCTCCACCCCTGGCTAAGAAAAGTTGCTCTGATTACAGTAAGTATGTGTTCCCCAGTTCTCTGATAATTCTATCAGGAGCCAGGGTGAGGCTCAGGTGTCAGGATTGGGGAGCTGCTGCTGACAGCCTCTCAGAGGCCGCCTGCCCGCCTGCCTGGAGGCAAGAGGCAGTGCTGGGTTGTCTCCATTCCAACCATTCATGTTATGACCTTGAACCCTCATTCTATCTCTGCTTCTCAGGTTCCCCTAGCTTAAAAAATGGGGATGATGATACCCATACGCCCATCCCCTCCAAACTGGCATAAGAGTCCAATTAGATGAGAATGTGCTGTGAGAAAATACCATCATAAAACTGCCCAGGTTTCGAGCAGAGAAACCAAGTCTGGCCTCTCATTCCATAGATGGAAAAACTACGGCTCAAGGAAGTTGCCAAGGTTACACAATGACCTGGCTCGAAAACCAGCTTCTATATTTTCTGAGCTGGAGGGAGGAGGGGGCAGAGAATGGTATGGAAACCAATCCTGTGGGAGTTTCGGGTATGACCGAGGGAGACAGCAGACCCCAAGCCTGAAGCTCAGCTCTGCCAAAACCCAGCCATCTGACATGGAGCTTCATCCATGAAACGGATTCATCTATGAAACGGACATTATGATGTCTTGTTCACAGGCCTTCAGAGGATTAAATGGAATAATACATGTAAAGCACCTGGCATGTGGTATGTTCCCCAAACATGAGTTTCTTCCCTTCTCGTTTTCTCTTAAAGTATCACAAATACTTTCAAAAAGGGGAGGCACAAAGGGAACATTTTCTCTTAGAGCTGAATGTTTCCAAAGACAGTTGTGAACCTTGGACTCCCTTTCCTTGGGGGCTTTCCTTATACAGTGAATGTGAAATGGCCGTCTTCCCCGTCAGCATAACGAGGAAGTAGAAATATTGCTTTCTGCCTCCTTCCCCACCACCTCTGCTGTACAAGAGCTTCCTCACAGGTACTCGGGCCAGCAGCTTTTAATGAAGCTGTGGCCAGATCCTCACAAAGAGGAAAGTGAGTCTATGAGATTAGCTGAGTGGTGAGGCTAATACAGTTATGATCCAATAAACACACTGATTAGGGTCATTTGTGCTCCTTTCCTCCCTCCCTCCTTCTCCCCCTCCTGCTGTACCTTGGCAGGCCTAGTGCAGGCTCTGCTTAGAAGGGTCTTGGAGATAACTAAGGCTGGAGCCTCCCAGCCAGCTTGGGCTGAGGATGCTCTAGGATGGATAGACTGCAAGGCAGGAGTTTCAGGTCCTAATGCCTACCCTGCCACCAGATCATTCTCTTTTTCTGCACCTCATCTTTCTCCTCTGTACGTCAAAGGTAGAGATAAAAGGGCTAAACTTGGGATCAGAAGTTCTCAAGTTCAAGTCCTAGACATGCCTTTTACTAGCCCTGCAACACTGGGCCTGTTATTCCATACATTCACTTTGTACAAGGCTCAGTGCTACTTGTCTTTGGTCCGCAGTCTGCTCACCTGCAAATGGGCATAATAATGCCAACCTCAGAAGATGGCTTTGGAGATTAAGAGAAAAATACATATAAGAAGCTTCCACAGACCATGGAACAGAGAAAGGGCAATAATTTCTTCTAAGGTTTTTTTTTTTAAAATAAATTTATTCACTTATTTACTTTCGGCTGCATTGGGTCTTTGTTACTGCATGCGGGCTTTCTCTAGTTGCGGCGAGCGGGCTTCTCATTGTGGTGGCTTCTCTTGTTGCTGAGCACAGGCTCTAGGAGCACGGGATTCAGTAGTTGTGGCACGTGGGCTCAGCAGTTGTGGCGCACGGGCTTAGTTGCTCCACGGCATGTGGGATCTTCCCAGACCAGGGCTCGAACCTGTGTCCCCTGCACTGGCAGGCGGATTCTTACCCACTGCGTCACCAGGGAAGTCCTCTAAGGTTCCTTCTGGTTGACTCTGAAAATACTTGCTATTGCTGGGCCTAAAAGAGGGGCTCCAAGATTACTTGCTGAATGATTGGCTTTCAACTGTAAAGTGCAATATTAAGTGGCTAAGAGGGAGCTGGCTCTTTACAATGAGGCATGCTACAGAACCAGGCCCCGGGCACAGGGGCTCAAGCACCCTCACCATGCACGGAGGGCTTCTCCTCCATCTAGTCCAGTAGACAGGAAAGAGGGCTGGCGGGCCTGTGCCGACAGAGTCTTCCCAGGCCTTTTCAATGCTAGGCTGATGTCTCAATTCTGGCCCCACTCAGTCTGAGCAGCTGCTGGTTTTCCACACCCAAGGGGTGCCAGGCCTGGCTTAGAATCATGAAAAGGCATTGGTAGGCATCTGCCGTTTGAAGAAGCTGCAAGGCTAAACTGTATTGACACTGGCCTCTAGTGGCAAATTTCCAAAACAGCATTCTAAATGGAAATTCGGCAGCTGAAAGAATCTTCTCAGAATGACCTAGATTCAGAAATTTAGGGCTAATAGGGGCCTTGCTCTGATCTTCGTTTGATGAATGAGAAAACCAAGTTTCAGAGGTAAAGTGATTCACCCAAGGTCACACAAAAGCCTCACATCTCACTGTCCACAAACCTGACCCAAAACTGGCCATCTGTGGTTTCAGACAGTTAGGGATCATGGATTACCTACTTGGAAGAACAAATAAGGACCCATTTTTCAAAATCAGACCAAGCCGGCCTTAGAGTGAGACCCTAACATGTTTTCTTCCCCTATACTTTGCTTCCTTTTTTGGTTGTTTTTCTCCCCTCTTTTATCTGTAAAAAAAAATGTTGCTGGAAGATCCCTATCCGATATTTACCTGAAAAATAGTAATCTATCCTACAGGCAACAGGGCTCTGAGGCCATGAAGTGCTTTGTAGGCAGTAAACTCTGCCACTTAAACAAATGTGCTCTTCAATGTTTCCTCCTCCACACGTTGCAAGAATGTAGTGCCAGAAGGGGCCACGGTGACAGCTCAGATTGGCTCGAGGATCTGAGGGTAGGAATCGTTTCCCTTGTGCAGAGAAAGCTATTTTGACATATTCTGGAGACACAGTCCAAAAATAAATCAAGCTGAGGACTTCCACAGGGCTTAGTGGAAAGGCTTTGCTACCATACCAGCTAAAGCCTGGGTTTGGAGACTTGGGGTAATGCTATTATTTCTGCAAATGGATCTCAAATCTTTTCCTGACAGAGAACAATTTTTAATTTGATTTATTCAGCAATAACCTCAAAGAATTGCATAAGGTGCTAAGAGAACTCCCAGAAGGGAATAAGACAAGGGCTTTTGCTCTCAGAGGTTAGCCCAGCGGGAGGGAGAGGTGTGCAAGGTCAGGCTGCTGAAACGTTGGTGTGAAAAGGCAGAAGTATGTGGTGGCTTCGAGGGCCGCCGGTAATAAGGACAGCTGTTTCCTAAATGCTGGTCCCTGTTCTAAGTACCTGCTCTAGCTCATTTAATCTTCACAATAGCCTTATGAGGTTAGGACCATTATCCTCATTTTATAGTTGAGGAAACTAAGGCACAGAGAGATTAAGAAACTATTAATAGTTCATCACACTGCTGCTAAGCGGTGAAGCTGGGCTCTGAACTCTGGCAGTCTGGTTCCAGAGCCCTTTATCGTCAATGTCATAATTGCTGATGACCTCTCCCCTGAATTTCTGTGATATCTACTGAACCATACCATCTCACCCCCTCTGGTACCCTCACAGGATCTTATTAGTGTCACACATGGCCTGATGTCCGCGGTGTACTAAATGGGAACGGAAGGTGGAAGAGCATTGTTTCTTAAAGCTCAATCTTAGCAGCCAAAGCCAAGAGCTTTGAATCCCTTCCGTTTTCTAAGACCACTACTGGTCTAGGAGGCAGAAGAAAAGGTTATTGTCCTGATTGCTCCATGCTCTAGGAACCACTCCCCGCCCCAATTTCATGTTGACAAACATGACCTTTAGGCTCTCACCACTCAAAGTGTAGTATCTGGACCAGCAGTCACCATCTCCTGGGAGCTGGTTAGAAACCCAGAATCTCTAGCCGGATGCTGAACCTGGATCTGCTTTCTAGCAGGCTCCCCAGTGATTCTTGAGTGTGGCAAAGAGTGAGAAGCCCTGGGCTAAGACCCTTGGGGGCCACGCACTTTCCAGTCTGGGTACCAAACTTCTAACCCATCCCCTGGGCAGTTGTTTGAAGGCTTCTTTCGTTGGCTTATCTACCCCCAACTTCAAGCCTTCTCTAAAAAGTCTGGAATCTCCTACCCTTCCCACCAAAGCTATATATCTCCTGTCCCTTGATTAGCTCTCACAGTCCCACAACCTATCTTCATTAATCTCCATCTAAGTTACAAACTCATCCTGCATTCTCTGTGTAACCTACCTTCACCTTGATCTATTTGAGCTGTGACTGAAATGAGCTATCTGTGCCCTAACACACCCCACTTCCACAAGACTTGTCGTAACTGTACTTTTCCAGAGAGGGTGTAGACACTCGTATGACAAAGGGATCAACCAGGATTCCTTTTACACAAGCTCCCTTTACACAGAGTCAAGAATTTCTATATCTCTGGCTAACTGGCAGAATCACTGGAAACTGAAACAGTTCAAGTTTTACTCTTTGAGGTCACATCCTTTATGAAAACTGGCATATGTTGCATGTGTGATCACCTCGGCATACATTTGGTATTTTATCCAGAAACAAGCAGCTGTGCCTGTGTAGCTCTTCCCAGTGTAATCACAACCTTCTTTACTTCTCAAAGTAGCGATAATACGTTTCCACCTCTCTCAATGACCTGGGTGAAAGCAGGGATTTTCAGGATTATAATTCTGGAAGGTCAGTGGTTGAGTGTCTTATTCCTTGCTCCTAGAGGTGGGTCCAATTATGTCCACCCAGTCCAGGCTGAAAGAAACGTATTTCTATTTTCCCAGAATAGTACTCTATACCCCAAAACCATCTCTGGGAGGTTACAAAGTCATTTATATAGTTTGTTGATGGGTTTTGCTTTTTTGTTTTTCAGAGAAAAGAGACAGAAAGATGGAGAAAGAGGCTGAACATGGGGAAGGCTTGGGGAACAGAACCTTGTTTGGCCATTCCATAAAGTAAATCACCATTTCCAAAATATGTAGAGTGATAAGGATGAACAGTTAAGCTATAATCCCCTTTTCAATCAACAAACTACCCATTTAAGAAAACAAACACAATGGGGCTTTCCCTGGTGGCGCAGTGGTTGAGAGTCTGCCTGCCGATGCAGGGGACACGGGTTCGTGCCCCGGTCCGGGAAGATCCCACATGCCGCGGAGCGGCTGGGCCCGTGAGCCATGGCCTCTGAGCCTGCGCGTCCGGAGCCTGTGCTCCGCAATGGGAGAGGCCACAACAGTGAGAGGCCCGTGTACCGCAAAAAAAAAGAAAACAAACACCACAACACATTTTGCCTCTGGGCTTGTGATGACATGCAGGTGTATCTCTTCCAAGTTCAGGGAATGGTTCAGGTCTCTCAGCACATCCACTTGGTTAATCTACAGGGGATTCCCCCTTACTCAGAAATGCTAATCAACATCACTTACTTCTTTCTTTGGTGTTGCTTTTTTAAAGTCAAACCTACTATTGGATGGGAGAAGTCTACTAGAGATGCAAAAACCTAAAATGATATGAAAACTTGAATATCAGTCCTGCAATACTACTTGAAAGGGTTCAGAGGTCCAAATGGCTGTTAGAACCTCTTACAATATTTAAAATCAAACTACAGCAGTGATTTCAACCATCAATGGCATTTTATTTTGGAAGTTCTATGTATTCCATAGGTATTAACTTCCTTTCTCTCACCGCCCCCTCCCTAAAAAAATCAGAAAGATTAAAAAATATATATATAAAATCTCTTATCTAGTTTCTCTAAAGTCTTAGGTTAAAAAACTTAAGTGGTGGGCTTCCCTGGTGGCGCAGTGGTTGAGCGTCCGCCTGCCGATGCAAGGGACACGGGTTTGTGCCCCAGTCCAGGAAGATCCCACATGCCGCGGAGCAGCTATGCCCATGAGCCACGGCCGCTGAGCCTGCGTGTCTGGAGCCTGTGCTCCGCAACGGGAGAGGCCACAACAGTGAGAGGCCCGCGTACCGCAAAAAAAAAAAAAAAAAAACTTAAGTGGTGCTTCTCCTTTATGAGGATACTGCTTTTTAAGAAGAATTCATAGTCTTTCTGTATGTTCACTATAGATTTCTACTCCTTCCTGGGGAAAAAATGGTCAACGCTTCTGCTTCTTTTTAATAAATTAATTTCTCAATTATTACACATTATCATTCCCCACTTGACACATTCTTAGAAACTTGATTGTTGGATGCATTTTTCACTTGGCAAAAATTCAATGTGGCTTTGCGTGGGATGTCTAAGTGTCGGAAACAGCAGTGTTGATGTTCTGGTTTTGAGAGGGAAAATATATATAGGATGCATACAATCCCTGGAAGAACAAAGGCAAAGGACTGAAATAGGGGGTGCACACAGTTAAGAAGGCTGATAGACACTACTTGGTTCTGAATTCTACGGCTGTCAGCCACCAAAGACTGCAGTGTAGCCCAGAATATAAATTTCTGCAAGAAGAGGCTGGTTAGGCACTGCGAAATGACAGAGTTGGCTTCATTTCGTTCCAAGTGTATAGAGCAGATACACACAAGAAGGAGCAGTATGGGTCATTTGCAGTGAGCAGTAACCTGTGAACAATCACGCATGGGCATTTCTGCAAATGCTCTGTCAACACAGGCACTGGGGAAGAGAAAAGAAGCATCCTATTAAAATACACTTCCATCTCTAACTCACCCAAGGCCCCAGGCCTCCTCAGCGCCTCAGATTTGCAAGACCAAAATGCAGTTTAGAGTTACGTATCATTCTAGGTCATCTGGAAACTGGTTCACTGGAGCCATCTCAGAAGACCTGGGTGTGCCCAAGAGTGCAGCAAGTCTACCCAGAAGGGTATGCCTTAATGATCTTCACATCGTCCACAGGACGGTCCTGGGAGTTTGTTTCCACCATTCCTACTCGATTCACCATTCCTATACCCTGGCACACACGGCCAAAAATGGTGTGCTTGCCGTCAAGCCACTGGGTGGGAGCCAGGGTCACAAAGAACTGGCTGCCGTTGGTGTCTGGCCCGGCATTGGCCATGGCGAGAATTCCAGCCCCTGGCGGGAAAAAGGAAGAGAGGAAAGAGTATGAATAACCCCCATAGCTCCAGCCTGGATCTGCAACACCAGCCTAGGGATAAAAAGAAGCCAGACCAACCACCCGACCAGACAACCTTCCCCTCAGGGCAGGCTCTCTGCCCTTGCACAAGGGCTAACAACTGCACTACCCGATGGCCTCATCTTCCTTGTCTTCACCTACTCCCTAGCCTCTATCCATGATGATCCCTGTTAAACTCTGGACCATGTTCTCAATTCCCCTCAAAAATTCAAGAAGGTCAACTGCTTCTTTGAGGAAGCTTGTAACAGCAACATTCAACAAGTAGTTAGAATCAAGATCACTCAGATCGGCACTCTGAATCGCTCAGGACTCTTGAGGCCGCTTGCTCTAATCCACCAGAGCTCTTTGTGGCTCTGCAGCTGGGCAGCTACACGGCACCAGGCCACGGTGTCAGGCATTCACCTTGAATCACAGCCAAAAGAGTGAGCTTTTAAAATCCACTCCCTCTTCCTACCCAGTCCAGACAGGTCATATACCTACCTGTGAATTTCAAGTCTGGATGAAGTTCATCTTCAAACTGCTTGCCATAGATAGATGCACCACCTCGACCTGCCAGTTATAAGACAGGAAACCAATCAGCCCACATTCCACCTCACACCAAGAACTACGGTCCAGGGTTAAATGACTTTTGGAGTACAGACGAGGAAAATCAGTGAGCACGCCTAGCACTGTGCTAAGTACACTGCAACTACACAGCCCAGCAGCAGAATCAAGCATTGGCACAGCACATTCAAATCACTGGTTTCATTTAGGTAAGACGTTTCTTTTCAAAATAACACTGAGTGCTTTTTTCCTGCTTATGAAAGTAATACATTTTCACTGTCAAAATGTAGAAAACATAGATCATTATCAAAGGAACATTAAAGTCCCCTGTAATCTAACCATCTACAAATAACCACCATTCATGGTTTGATGTGTTAAGAGGTTTCCTGATTTTTTACATTTTTATGGGTACTTTAGACAGGAGTGCTCCAAGTCCTAACCCTATGCCCATCACAGACACTGCTAATCAATCAGCACTCTTCCCTGCTGAGCTTAGACTGGCCTCTGAATCCTTACCAACCCAGAAATCCAGGCAGCCATTTTTAATGGATCAGATGCGGCATAAGAATTGAAACCTATTTGTCATCCTTAACCTAGATGAAGGAAAATAAAATTCATTTAAGTCAAAGATAACTAGCTTAAGGAGAAACAAGGACAGTGCTGGGTGGCAATGTGGCAGAAAAGAATATTACAGTAGGGAGAATTCATTGGGAGGAGAAGCAGTATGCTGTAAGGAGAATATGAAGAAACATGGCATTGGGAATGATTTGCTAGCAACATCACAGGTTATTTATATATCCACAAGAGTCCATACCCTTGCTGTTCTGGGCACCCAGGTTTTGTTGTTAGAGAAAAATGATACGTTAAATAAGATTTTTCCATAGGAAAAAATGTCCTAATAGGAGATAGCTCTCTTAATTATTTAGTCAACCATATGTCTTGTTGAACTACTTTGGTTTCTCCAAGTTGACCAGTCAAGACAAAACAGCCTGAAACAAAGTGAACAGATTTATCAGCTTACTCTGCTTGCCTGGCAGACAGGAAACAGGCCAGAGGCAAGGAGCTCACTTCCTCTTACAGCCTGCTGTGAAAGTAGCATGTTAAAGCACCATGTCCACCCCCAGAGGCCCCTGGGCCCTGCTAAGGTGTTTCCATGGTAAAAAATCCTTTGCTGTGTCTTTTAGGATGCTCCACCACAGGGAGCCTGTCACAGCCCCCGGTCCAGGAAGAAAACGCTGTTCTCATGCAAAGAGGAATGGGGGTGAATGTTAACAGAGTTGGGGAAACCTCCCACCTGGCCCAGGCTACCCATGCTTCTGGAAAATTACTGAACTACCAAACTATGTAAAAATTCATTCCAAAAATTCCAACATGCCAGTATACCTCCAAACAGTAATTATATAACCAGTATGTTCCCTCTGACTACAGAGTCAAGGTTCCTGCTTGAGCTTGGGGTGGGGGGTTGGTTAGTAGAAGTGCTAGGGCTGAAGATGAGAGAGGAGAAAGAGGGCTATGGGGACAAACTAAGGTCAAGCCCTACCTCCAGGGCTTGAATGAGCATGACGAGGATGAAACTCAGCAGTGCACTGTCTGTCTGCAGGCTGAGCCTTGGAAGTGTGATCTCTGCAAGCCAAGGACTGCCAGAACCTCAGGGCCCCACTCTCAAGGAACTGAAACCGAACATATGAATGGCAAACAGGATAGGTTAGTCAAGAGCCACAGATAAAGCCTGGGGGCTTAAGCAATCGGAAGGAGATGAGAGGAAAAGGCATGGAAGCCCCACTTCACTCACTAGGCATAGTTTGACCAACTGCAAGTAGTTTGGGCCTCGAAGGCACCATTTAATCATAATATGTTATCTTTTCATAACCTAATTCAACTCAGTAGGTTTGCAGCAAATTGTCAGAAAGACAAATAATTCCAATCAAAACATTCCTTTGGGCATGCGGAATAGTGGAGAAATGGACAGGGAGTGATTAAAGAGTTCTCCGGTGCACAGCAGGCAACAGATGTCAATGATCACATATAAAGCCAAAACTTAGGAAGCTCTGTGGTAAAAACGTGCTGTGTGCCTCCTCTAGTACAGATACAAGGGAGACAGGCACAGGCCTGTTTTCCAAACTCTGTGCCCTCAAAGTCCTTCCACTCTTCTGCCCTCTCCTTTAAACATTTATTCAATGTATTTAATATTTCAGACATAAAAAGATACAAAGAATAATACGACAAACAACTGTGCAGCCTCCCCTCAAGAAATAAAGTGTGGCCAATCCAGTCGAAGACCCCAGGCACACACACCCTGTTTCCCTGCCCCAACTCCACCACTCCCCCAAGAGCTAACAACTGCTGTGAAGGATCTCATCTTCCTCTCGGGTCACCACTACCCTTTCTGACCAGGAGTTTGTCATTTCCGTGCATTTTCTTTTCTACTACATATTGTATGTATCCCTAAACAAATGTACTGTTGTTTGCATGTTTTTAGGTTTATATAAATGGTATTATACTCTACATATTCTTCTTCAGTTAGCTTTTTTTGGGTCACCACTGTAAGTGATATTCATCCATTTTGTTCCATGCAGCTCTCTGTAGCATTTGTTCCACTAAATGATTACAACACCATCTTTTCTCACGGTGATGGATAGTTAGGATCTTTCCAATGTTTTTGGTATCATAAACCATGCTGCAATAACCATTCTTATACTGTCTCCCAAACACAAGTGCAGGAGCTCTCAGGGACTATACCTCATGGGGGATATGCAGGCTCACAGTGTATCAGCATTTCACCATTACTAGATTTCCCCAACTATCTTGCCAGAAGTAGCCCCAATGTGCGCCCCACCCACAGTGCTCTCACTCTTACCCTTACTGCTCGAGGTCCTTTTGCCAGGCTTTTTCTAATGTTTGTCGGTCTGAAAGGTGTCAGATCTCTTGTGTGTTTTAAACTGCGTTTCCCTGAAGCTGTGCGTAATTTCCTGTTTACTGGCTATTTATTTAGCTTCCCTCCTGTCAACAGCCACATTTCTACCAAGTGGTTTCACATTTTAAAATTTATATATATTTTATTAGCAGGATTATTCTAGATACTAATCCTTTGTCAGTTAATGCTTTTGCAAATACTTTTTTCCAGTTTATTTTTTTCACTTTTTTTTTCTGCTTTATAACAAAGTGAATCAGTTATACATATACATATGTTCCCATATCTCTTCCCTCTTGCGTCTCCCTCTCTCCCACCCTCCCTATCCCACCCCTCCAGGCGGTCACAAAGCACCGAGCTGATCTCCCTGTGCTATGCGGCTGCTTCCCACTAGCTATCTACCTTACGTTTGGCAGTGTATATGTCCATGCCTCTCTCTCGCTTTGTCACAGCTTACCCTTTCCCCTCTCAATATCCTCAAGTCCATTCTCTAGTAGGTCTGTGTCTTTATTCCTGTCTTACCCCTAGGTTCTTCATGACATTTTTTTCCCTTAAATTCCATATATATGTGTTAGCATACAGTATTTGTCTTTCTCTTTCTGACTTACTTCACTCTGTATGACAGACTCTAGGTCTATCCACCTCATTACAAATGGCTCAATTTCGTTTCTTTTTATGGCTGAGTAATATTCCATTGTATATATGTGCCACATATTCTTTATCCATTCATCCGATGATGGACACTTAGGTTGTTTCCATCTCCTGGCTATTGTAAATAGAGCTGCAATGAACATTTTAGTACATGACTCTTTTTGAATTATGGTTTTCTCAGGGTATATGCCCAGTAGTGGGATTGCTGGGTCATATGGTAGTTCTATTTGTAGTTTTTTAAGGAACCTGCATACTGTTCTCCACTGTGGCTGTATCAATTTACATTCCCACCAACAGTGCAAGAGGGTTCCCTTTTCTCCACACGCTCTTCAGGATTTATTGTTTCTAGATTTTTTGATGATGGCCATTCTGACTGGTGTGAGATGATATCTCATTGTAGTTTTGATTTGCATTTCTCTAATGATTAATGACGTTGAGCATTCTTTCATGTGTTTGTTGGCAGTCTGTATATCTTCTTTGGAGAAATGTCTATTTAGGTCTTCTGCCCATTTTTGGATTGGGTTGTTTTTTTGTTATTGAGCTGCATGAACTGCTTATAAATTTTGGAGATTAATCCTTTATCAGTTGCTTCATTTGCAAATATTTTCGGGAGAGGGTTGTCTTTTGGTCTTGTTTATGGTTTTCTTTGCTGTGCCAAAGCTTTGAAGTTTCATTAGGTCCCATTTGTTTATTTTTGTTTTTAATTTCCATTTCTCTAGGAGGTGGGTCAAAAAGGATCTTGCTGTGATTTATGTCATAGAGTGTTCTGCCTATGTTTTCCTCTAAGAGTTTGATAGTGTCTGGCCTTACATTTCGGTCTTTGATCCATTTTGAGCTTATTTTTGTGTATGGTGTTAGGGAATGTTCTAATCTCATACTTTTACATGTACCTGTCCAGTTTTCCCAGCACCACTTATTGAAGAGGCTGTCCTTTCTCCACTGTACATTCCTGCCTCCTTTATCAAAGAAAAGGTGACCATATGTGCGTGGGTTTATCTCTGGGCTTTCTATCCTGTTCCATTGATCTATCTTTCTGTTTTGGTGCCAGTACCATACTGTCTTGATGACTGTAGCTTTGTAGTATAGTCTGAAGTCAGGGAGCCTGATTCCTCCAGCTCCTTTTTTCGTTCTCAAGGTTGCTTTGGCTATTCGGGGTCTTTGGTGTTTCCATATAAATTGTGCAATTTTTTGTTCTAGTTCTGTGAAAAATGCCAGTGGTAGTTTGATAGGGATTGCATTGAATCTGTAGATTGCTTTGGGTAGTAGAGTCATTTTCACAATGTTGATTCTTCCAATCCATCTATTTGTATCTCTTTAATTTCTTTCATCTCCATCTATTTGTATCATCTTTAATTTCTTTCATCAGTGTCTTATAATTTTCTGCATACAGGTCTTTTGTCTCCTTAGGTAGGTTTATTCCTAGATATTTTATTCTTTTTGTTGC